TTGACCATAACCGCTAAACCTCAATCCTCTATCAACATCAGATGATTTTAAATTAAAATTTCATTGTGAAAGCCAGCGGGCAACCTGCACTCCTTTAAGAAATACTGGTGGTCTGATACAGTCTTCAACTGATTTTTACCGTAGTTTTTGATGAAAGCTGCTGCTCTGTTTTACTTTTCATCAGTGCTTCATTTACTTCTTTCTCTCTCTCCCTCTTTTTTTTTGCGAGAGATCCAGTTAACCAATTTGTTTTTTGACAACTGTTTTTCAGATGATTGAGCAGCTTTGGAAATCTAGTTTCTTGGGAAATTTCCGTGGTTGTTTCAAGTTGACCTTCACACCCACTTAACACAGCAACTCCCCAGGTATGTGGAGGTGAGAAAGAATTTACCACTTTCAATCAATACAAAACAAACTATGAAACACACACACACTTCTTTTAAGGGAGACTTTTAGAAAGGTATGTGCAACTGTGAATTCTTTTCACATTTATATAGTTTTGATTTGACATTTTTTGATTTAGTTCAGATGGTGCATAATACAATACAAGAGCACAATCAATAATCAGTCATAAATATTCTTACAATATTACGAAAGCAGATTATTGCTGGCAGCACGGTGGCGCAACTGGTAGAGCTGCTGCCTCTCAGCGAGCAGGTCCTTGGTTCAAACCCCGGTCCAGGGGCCTTTCTGGGTGGAGTTTGCATGTTCTCTCCGTGCATGCGTGGGTTTTCTCCGGGTACTCCGGTTTCCTCCCACAGTCCAAAAACATGCATGTTAGGCTGATTGGTAACTCTAAATTGTCCCTAGGTGTGAGTGAGAGAGTGAATGGTTGTTTGTCTCGTTTGTCTCTATGTGGCCCTGTGATGGACTTGCGACCCGTCCAGGGTGTACCCCGCCCCTCGCACAGTGATTGCTGGACATGGGCACCAGCGACCCCCGTGACCCAAAATGGAATAAGCGGGTAAAGAAAATGGATGGATGGATGGATGGATGGATTATTGCTGTGGAGGTGGGATTTTTTTCCTGCATGATTGAGAGCTGTTAGTTTAATACTATGTTGTTCTGTCTCCTGGTCTAAATTTATGATTGGATTTAGTCATAAACACTGAAGTAAGTCATTTATTTAATATGGTGATGACTACTTGGCACTGCCAGTATAGAAAAAAAACAACAACAACCTTTATGTTAGGTTGCCTTCAGGTCCAGGTCTCCCTTGCAAAAGTTATCTGTGATCTCAATGATATTTGCCTGGTTAATAAAGGTTAATAAATAAATAAACAAACAAACACTAAATGACAGGATCTTTAGAGTTTTTCTCCATTCATGTACCAGTATATATTATATATATTATACAGTCTAGAATGCATTTCATTGAACATAATTATAGCTTTTTGATTACTTAGCTTTTGTTGTTGCCATAAAATGTGAGCAATATAGTAATTGCCTATGTCTATGCATGCGTTTGTCTGTTAGCAGTATATCTTATGAACTGGACAAATTTTAATGAAACTTGCAGAAGCTAATCATTTGATGTACAACTACAGCTGATGAACATTCCTCGTAAACTATGTATTTCAAGCTGGCCGCTGCAGCCAACTGAACTTGAAAAAACACAAATTGCTATACCAGCCAATGCTACGAAGATTGTGCAAAGGTTTGGTTGAGTTGTAGCTGAGAATCTTTCACAAAATTTACTCCAGGTGCTACTATTGCGCCAGACAAATGTCTAAAATTTTAGCATTAACTGTAGGAGTAAAACCTGTTTGTCTGTTAGCAAAATAGCTGATGACACATAAATTTTAATGAAACTTCCAGAAAGTACTCAATGGATATCAGTGGTGGGCCGTGCATTTAACACCTAGGCCTTCAGTGGTGTCCTGCTTGAATTTGTTCACTTCATAATACTGTCATTATGACATCATGGCTACATAAACCATCAATAATACATAGAAACAGAATAATATGGTGCTGCATCACAGACAGGCATCTCGTGTAGCGAGAATGAATGCCATTACCAAAGCAAGAAACCCAATTAACACAATTCAACAAGTTTCCTTCAACCATACTACAGCCACAGCTGTCCACATATATATTTACAAAACAAAATATGGATGTTATAAATGGACAAATATATATACAAAATTTAATAAAATGCATTTTACTCATCAAAATCTTTGATTGGCTGCACACAGACTTTATCTTCCTTTCTTTCCTCGGTCAGAGTTCAGTTCCTCTGTCCTACTGGTCATCTTGGTATTTCAGTTTCAACAAGAAGTCCTTTTCTAACGCCATGGACGCTAACGTTCTTTCATCTTTCTGGCATAAGTTTTAATTTGTTTTACAGCTGAGAATGTCCGATCAACATTTAGCTTGTGCAGGTCGCTACAAATGCAGTTTCCTGGTGCCGACCAGTACGTTCTCTGACTGTCCAATCAAATGATGTGAAAACGCTGACGTTGTCTAATGCCTAGAAGGCCCTGGTGTCACCACCTCAACATCGGATTGGTCAAAGCGACAGTTTCATTGCCATTTGTTTTAACCTACTGGTGCCTGCTCTGTTGATTCTGAAGGCCTCGAGGCAGATTTCTTGATTGGACAAAAGCCCTATATATATGCTACTGGAAGCTGCACAACAAGGAGAAAAACTATGAAATGAAAAGAACAGACATTTCAGAATAATATTAATTAACAGTAATTATATACAAAAATGTAAGTTAGTGATTCTGATTGTGTTAGACCGCTCTTGTCGTCTCCTCTCCGGAATATCTAGGTAACTATGTGCTTATGTACCGGGTGTTTTTGTCAATATCAGGGTCTTTCTCCTCGGTCAAGGAGAAATAGTTTGATAGGAATTTTTTTTGCTTCCAAATCCTATACGTGTGTCACTTTCATTACTTTTTTGTCTGTCTTAACAGGTCTCACTTGTAATTGAGTCTTTGAGGCTCAGTGTGATTTATCCGTCTAAATAAAGGTTAAATGAATAGACCAGCAGAGAAGGCTTTGCTGGCCCTGATGGTCCACCACTGTTGGATATACATTTACAAGTGATTAATTTCTTAAGTCAATCTATTTTAAAATGTCCACCACAGCTCATTAATATTATATCTATATAGAACGCCTGTTACTTTGTTAATTTTACAGATATTGGGCTAAAATCTGGCATGGTAGAGTCATCCACTTTATATACTCAGAGTGATATCTAAAGATATGGCATGAGACTGTGCACAACTCAATGTTTCTGAACATAAGATGATTTTAGTCTAAAACTCTGGCATGACAGGTGTTGGGTAATATGCATTAATTTTAGAAATTTGAAGTTTTTATTTGTATTATGGCTCTCCCGTGAGTAGAAATCAGCCTTTCCAGGTGACCATCCTTCCACTGTGGCATAAGGTCTTAGTGGTGATGCTGTTCTGTTTTTGGAAAACACTCCACCGCTTCTCTCCTCTTCCCGTTAATTCGATAAGCTTTATTTTCTCACCAGCTGTGTCTCCAAAGTGTGTGCCGTGTGTTTTATTTGTGTGTTTCTGTTTCAAGCCACATGGGACAAGCCAGATAAATTGGCTTGCAATGAACAATTGTAAATCTTTCTATACACAGTACACAATAGACTGTTTCACAAGCACCTAGAAACATGTACACACATGAGTCACCCCCCCCCCCCCCCACACACACACAAAAAATACTTGTCCTATTGAAGTTCAACACTTCTCTGCAAATGCAAATAAAAACTTCAACATCTGCTGTGGAGGCAAAACTCAGAAATGACCCAGGTCAAAAAAATGGCATTTCTACAGCTTGTGCAGACAGGCAGTTGCACAAACAATTGTACTGCCATGACCTCCTTAGCAATAGCTGGCAATATTCAGATGTAAAGCTACATAACTGCATCTGCATGCACTAAATCTTAGCAGACAGATGGAAAAGGCATTCCTTCTCATGGGAAAACTGTAGTGCCCAACTGAACACAGCAGACCATACAAGTATTTGAATGAACATTTTTGTAAAATAGTCAAAGCTGAAAGAGGACAATCTGGAAGAAAAAAAAATCTATTACAACCAGGGCTTAATTTGTAAACTGATCAATGCAGGAACACAAAAGGTGGGCGGCTGGCCGGTATGCCAGCCGGCCGGGGGTGTTGGTTCATTTTGCAGGGGAAGGGGAAGGAGCTTGTAAGCCCTCCTCCCCCTTAATTTTTTTGGGGTAAATGCTATTTCCTGCATTTTGGTGCAGCCTATTTTAATGGGTTGTTATACATCTACATTTACCTGCATTACTGTATTTTTGTCATTTTGATCGCTGTTATTATGACAAATTAGCACCGCTGTTTTGATATGTGATTAATGTGAATAATACACATGAAACATCTCTCGTTGTATTTTTTTTTTACTGTAGCTAAGCTTTTTTTGTTATTATGTCTGAAACGTATGCGTTTGTTGACACCAGCAGTTGTGCGCACTCTGTAGAGCTGTGTGGAAACGCTCCTGTGCATATATGGCAAGCCAAGTAGCCCATTAATAGCCACTTTTACCACATGTCTGGCTATTAATGGGCCACTTGGCTTGCCAAATAGAAGAAGACACTTCATCCCAGCAGGACATGCCGTCGGCATCTCGGGCAGGAGCGTGTGTGCGAGCTGGTGCGTCTGCTGCAACCCTAATATCCACAATGTCTCCTCTCATTGTATATTTAATGAATAATCAAAATAAAAATGTGCAGTGACTTTGGACTTTTAGGGGCGAAGATTTGAGTTGCCGGATCCGAGCAAACAGTTGCTGGAACGCACCTGGTCAAAATGAAAGAGTTCCCGGATCTTGTTCCGGCAGGATCCGGCTCAAATTAAGCACTGGCTCCAACTAGTCAATTAATTTTTTTGTCATCTATTTATGATAAAATGCAAATTGCTCCTTAAGACCTTAAAATAATCTTTTTTTTTCCTATTGTGAGAACATAATTCTATTAAAAAAACAGACAAAATCATTCAGTGGAAGCCTACTGGATTATCTGGTCTGAGTCTTTTGGACGGTGGTCCTCCATCTTCAGGGTGAAGCATGTAGAACAGACGTACCTTATTGGCATGTTTCTTACTCTGTGAACGAAACAAATAAAAGACAAGGCACTCAGCAAATCAAAGGATTTTAGTTTTAACAAGAAAGTTAAAAAAGAAATAAAACAAGAAACAGGTATTAACCAACGACTGCCACACCATCTTGGCAGCACTCACTGTCTCTTTATTTGTGTTAGTGCTGATGATGCTAGCAGCTTTTGCCCCAGGTGAGGTGACTAATTGCTTAGAAAGCTTCAGCTTTCTGCAGCCCAGATTAAGATGGAGACAGCGTTGAAACATATTTGCAAACATTTAGACTTTAACTTAACAAGGTAAGCATGTAAATAGTTTAAAAGGCACATTATAAAACATCACTGACTTTGCTGATAAAAATATATAATATTACATTATAATGGGATTAATTATTAAATGGGTGCAAGGATGTCACTATATAAGTACAAAGGTAACTGTGTTTAATTTTAAAAATTATTTTGTATTTCCTCCCACTCCAGTGGGCTCCTCCTGTGTTCTACTGCTTTAAGACAGAAATGTTGTAAGATATAATAAACACAAAAATGTTTATATGCAAGGACAGTGAGCTGTCCTTGAAGCTGTTAACTGTCACTTTAATGCAGAGCAATGAAAATAACTGGACAATCAGCAGAGGGAGTGTTCAGTAAATGTTTATGTGTTCACACAGCTCTGAGGTAAAACATGTATCCTTCAAATATATAATTTTATTTGATGGCTTCACTTCCTTCTTAAATAAAAAAAAATGTTATTATCTATAAAAAAAAATTTGTGTTGTTAACTTGACACTACGTGTGCAGATAAAAACAATAACTTCAAAGTAACTCAGCATCCATACTGTTGTTTTCCTGTATTTTTTAAATTTTTTATTTTGTTGCATTTGTTTTAGTTTAACTACTTTTGCATATGTTGTGCTATTTTAGCACAACATATTCATATTTCATATTTATTTCATTCAGGACACGGGTGCTTTTAACTATTTTTTTTATACTTTTCAAATTGTTAACCTTAATTGAAAATATCTTTTCAACAAAAATGCATTGAGATCATTTCAATTCCTTCCAAAATATTCAATTTTGTTTTAAATCTGCTTCAGTGTTGCTCCGAGCTATTCTGAGAATACTTTTAGGTTTGAGCTACTGTTCTACAACTTTTATTTGCCTTTTAGTCTTTTTCTTTAGTTCTTTTGCTACTTTTAGTTTTTAGCTGGCCTTGTGCCACACTTCATTTGCTGCTCCAAAGTCTACTTTGAATCTTTTGACCCCCCAGAGAAGAGCTCCTCTCTAACCTCACGTCTCCTCACTTGTTAGACTACTGTTAATGCATTTTGTATGTGTGCGCGCGCGCGCGTGTGTGTGTGATTGAGTGTTTGAGGGTATGCTTGTGTTTATAGGTATATAAATGGCCATGCATTTGATGGCTCTGGGATATAGCCGATAAAAGCAGGACCTTGTGTCACTATGGTTACCTTGCACTGACCCTCAATGCTCACACCACTCTAATGGGTTATGCATGTTGTTGTTGTTTTTATTTTTATTGTGTGTGTGTGTGTGTATCAAACCAAGCTGGAGGAGACAAACAGACGCCAACTATATGACAGAAGCCATGTCACTTTGTGGGATTTATGTGCATGCAGGACACAGTATACAGGATACAGAGTTGGGATGCGGCCATTGGAAAAAAAAAAGAATATTAAATCACCGAATGAAATTGGCATTATGGGATTAACTTTTCTGAAAGAAAATCCAATCATTTGACGATGGAGCTGGTACAAAAAAAAAGCCTATTGATGCAAATATCAGAAAAGACTATGAATAAGTATAGGACACACCCTGGCCTGATCAGACAATGTACAGTGGTGCAGAGAAGGCCAGGACATACAGTGAAAAAAATCCATCCAACTGTTAACTGACTAGCAGCTCGTTATTAATTTATTTAAAATAAAAAAAAAATAAAAAAAAACACCCTCCAGGCTCCATCAGATCATTCAAACTGTGTTTGTATGTACTGGAAAAGTTGAAACAATTCATAAAGCTGCTAAAATACAAAGCTCAGATAAATAGTGTTAACTTATTTTATAAATGAATGTTTCTGTTCAGTGCCCCGAGATGACTTCTGTTGTGACTTGGCACTATAGAAATAAACTGAATTGAATTAAAGCAGTTCACTGTCAAAAAAAAAGGGTTCTGCATATTTTACAATAATATTTTTAAATGTTACATGGGCAGTTGTGCTCGGTTCATTTTATATTTGTGGGAATTGTGTTGCAAGAAACTGACATATTTTACCAACAAAATATACCATGCAAAAGCTGCTTTCAAGTGATTTTTACTGTCTTCTTGATCCACTGACCTCTGCAGAGATCTTTTGTAAAGGCTGACAATGACAACATGCTGTGACTCATCTCGCCTGTTTGCCTGCTCCACTCAAGGCGGTGTGTTGTCAAACTTTAAGGATGAGGGACACAAATAGATTACTGTCATGTGAAAGTGGTGAACATACATGTGTACAGACACATACACACTGTTAATGGCTTTGGCTCTTGTCCTCATTAGCCTCCTCGTTAATCTCAGTAGTATCTTATTATCAAAGATGCCCTCAACGCACTTATAGGCTTGTGCAAATGTGCATTTCCATATAGATTCAATTCATCTAATTCAAGGGCTGATTATTTAATGGTCATTCATTATGCATCTCTTGGAAAATCTGCTGAAAGGTAGATTACATTAAAGTAAAAAGAAATGTGTGTGCGCGTTGTGTCTGTGTGCAAGTAACTAGCGTTACCATGCTGCTGGAAGTCTATGTATAATGGATGAGTGCGGTCTTGAACGGCACAAGCATAAATTGGTACAAATAAGGCTAAGTACAGTGCATGGATCTGCGTGTAACAGCAGTTTTGTAGGCACATTTATTTTGCTTTTCTATAAAGCTTGACTGTGACTGTTTAGATAAAAACTCTAAAACTGAACAGAATTGGACTCACCTCGTAGTGAGCGGTGCGCTGGGACTCAGAGATGAGCTGGGCATTGCAGATGTTACAATAACTCTCTGTGAACAAGCCTCCGTCCACAACGCCCGAAGACTTCATCTTCATCTGAGACTACACAAACACACACACATGCCCAAACAGATGACTATTAGTATGCAAAATGTGCAATAAAATGTCAGTGTGCTTTATTTTCGTGTGTGGGATCAGTAGAATGCTGAAAATATCTTAATTTTGAAATCCCTTTTCTTCAGAATGACACATTCAGCCCAAAATACTGTATGCTGATTGTTTATGTCAGAACATCCTCTTATGGATGATTTTGGTTCCCATTTTGGAAACCATGGCCCATGGCATGTATTAAACTTTCTGCATTTTATTTTGTTGTCATTTACATAAGTTAGAAAACAAATATAAGGCACTTTCACAAAATGCTACAAGCCAGGACTTAGACACCATCTGGACACATTGGTGTGATTTATGAATAGGCCAACCAAGGCAGTAAGTGGGGTCAAAGCCAACACACACCCAATGTGACTTTGTGCTGCAAAGTGAGGTAGTAACAGAACCATAATGGTACTCAAATGGAAAGGTAAGATGGTGTTGATGCTCAGTAATGTGATTAATGGAAAATAGTAAATAGACTGAACTTAGACAGAATTTTCTAGCCACCCAAGCTATTCAAAGTACTTCACAACAATGAGTATTCACTTCACCAGTGAATGCCAGAAAGTTTTACTTTGTCAGAAATACCTAACACAACCCTGTACTAACTAGGCATGGTAATAGGTATTCTATGTGCATACATTTGTACTATTGTCTCCTAAACAAGGCAAAGAACAGAGAATTTTTTTTTGTGTTTCCGTGTGAGTGCATGTTCATTGTTTTATGTTAGTAAAATATCTCATGAACCACTGGAAAAACTTAATGATTTCACAAAGGTGTCATTGGGTTTGCATCTACAACTCGTTCATTGTTGGAGCCAACTCGCCACAACACTGACTATAACAGTCACTTTTATAAACAATGAGTGGAAATTTGGTGTGACTGTAGCTAAGACTAATTTACAAGACAAATTCAGCTATTTATGACAGTACGACAAACTTTGCCTTTAACTATTGACATCAGCCCTGCTTGACTGTTAGCAAAATATCTCAAGAATCAATGGATGGCTTTAATGAAACTTGCACTTATTTTTCATTCAACCTTTATTTATACAGGTTAATCCCATTGAACCTCGGGGACTCATTTACAAGAGAGACCTGATTTTAACAAAGAGTGATGACAACAGTGGATGACAATAATGGTAAATGGAAATGGACTCTATTTATATAGCACCTTTCTACCGTATCGAGATACTCAAAGCGCTTTACACTACAATCTGTGCCCTCATTTACCCATTCATAGAGCACTCTACTAGATCTCTACAAAACTAATTAAACAAATCATTCTAAAGAGACTAATCAGTACTTTATCACATTCATACAGTAATGGGACACACATCAGAGGCAACGAGGGGTTCAGTGTCTTGCCCAGGGACACTTCGGCATGTGACTGCGGGTGGATTCGAACCCCCAACTCTTGCATTGGAGGACGACTGCTCTAACCACTCAGCCACATCTGCCCTACAATCATAAAGGATGCATACAAATTTAATTATTTTTAACCAATGAAAATAAAACGGTAATTAAAAGGATAATTAAAAGGAAAAGTAGCAAAAAACAGCTAGATTAGGCACTTCAGAATCAGAATCAGAATAAGCTTTATTATTATTGCACCGAGATACAACGAGAATATGTCCGTACTGTCATCCGAAAGATGGGCGGAGTGCACGTAGCTGCTGCTATATAGCGCAGCCTTCTTATCCTTTTCAGAATACATTTTTTAGATAGAAAAAGGGGCAAAGCCATGAGGAGAGGATAGTGGCATTACCAAAAAGATCTCTTCACACCTTGTCCTAACAGGACATGATTTAAGACATCAGGAAAAACTCTGCCAGCAAGCACATTCATGAACATGTTACATATGCATTTGACGATGAGGCGGTCCATGAAGCACTAATAGATAGTCCATTGTCCTGATAAGATTATGGTCAGCTGGCACAGTTCTGATAAGCCTCCCCGCAAATTTGGGGGGGGGGGGGGCATGGGGGGGCATGCACTAGACAAAGTTTTTCCTTAGTTTACACATTTCCCAGGAGAAATTGATAAGTCAGCCTGTTTCGAGGCCAACCGTGGAGTCACATTCAGATAACCACAATTGTTGATTTATTCAGGCAGACAATTTTTTCTTGACAACCTTGAGTCTTTACTGGTAATTCTAAGGTTGGAAATGGCCAGATTAGGGTGCATTCTACTGGTCCATGCTTACAAGCCTCTTTATGGTCGTTTTCATGCTGACGAGTCCCAAAGCCGCAGGTGGACTGTGATTCAAATCACTACCATCTTACAGGTTTAGCTCATAAATCAGCTGATTTTGAGTTCTCAAAGCACAAACCAAACCTTCACATAGGCAGCAGCCTGACAAGGGTCAAATTAGCTGTGGCCGCCTTCTTTGTATGTTGATAAACCAGGAACCAGACTATTCCAAAAACAGGAAACCTGTTATCATAAATCCAATTATATGCAATTTTGGCATCCTCGATCGACAGCAGAGGTAGACCCATCACCCCCAGCGATATATCCAGCTGCATGTGTATCGTCCGAGCAGATGAGGGTTCTCCAGGACCATGTCCCTTTGTTGAAAAGATTTTGTCATTTGCATTGAAAGTCCAGTTAGTCAGATCCAAAACAGTAGTTTTCATTTCGGAAGATGTGTAAAAATAGGAGCTGCTCCGGTACACAGACAGAGAGCAAAAAGCAGGAGGAGAACAGGAGAGGGAAAAGAATGCGTGCTCCTTGTTCCAGAGCCAGTGTGAAAATTTTTTTTTAAAAAGAGCCTTAACAGATCATACATACTCTCAAAATATTGCATTGGACTTTGCATTGAATCATTTAGAAGACTTGGCCAAAACTGTTTTAACTAGTCCTTCTCTTCATAAAATTAAATTTGCTTAAAACTCCGGCAGTAAAGGCACCAGGTGATGCACTTTTTTCATGAATGCTAGCCCTTTAATTTATTTATAAGTTCTTGTTTTGGGATTTTGGTGTTTTCTCTTGGTTCTCTCAGCAAGCATCAGCAACTCAGCACACCCTTTTATATCCATTTACACATCCAACCTTGGTAATCAATGTAAATGCAATGCTATTTTGTTGGCATCGAGAAATATTGTGCTTGACTCAATTTTTGCTTCTATTGACTTTATAAAATATATTGGCTAAAAACAGACAGAGTGGAATTTAGCAGTTGTGTTCAGATATCTATTTTAGTTACAGTCTGCAACTTAGAAAGCTGCAGTTTTTGTGATGTTTCCTTTGTTAAAGGTTACAGTCTCTGAAGTAAACATAACTGAAATAAAAGTCTTCCCAACAAAATTCTCTTTAAGTTTCCAAAGTGTCCTAAAACTTGTCAATACTGGGAACACTCAACCAATAAAACATCAGAGACTCGTTGAACAACCCTCAGGAAACTCTGACTCTGCGGCTTTAACAACCTGGCAGGAGTGTTTTTCTCTTCACTTTATAGTTGGTACTGTAAAATGAAATAGTATAATGATGTACAGTACTCTGGGGTCTTGTGTTCAATTTTCTGTTCTCTTCATTATGTGCTTCTTGTAGGTCTGGCTCTGACTCGGCTGCGGAGAGTAACTGGTCTTCTGGAAGCGGTTCTGAGACGTCACCCATTATACAGGATTATGTCCATTTGACAAGAAGGCAGCTCTACAAAAAGTTTACAAGGGCAAAGTGTTTCATAGCCCAAGGAACATGGATGCTGCAGAGGTCAGCATTCAACCGTGAACAAATAGAGCCATTTTGATTGACATTTTATCCAAGGAATCGCAGCTTTAGTGATGAGCAGACAAATATCTACTACGATATGTCAGCAGGGAAAAGTAGTGGCAGGAATTGTTTTCCCTTTTTCACAAGACTAGTAGGTAATTACATCCAGCCAAAGCATTTGATCTGTGTGCGCTCACACACAGGTAAGCGCACATTAACACAGCACTAGTAATTACCCCTTTCTGCTCATTTTGTCTGTTTAGTGCGCCTCGGACTATTCAATTATCCACAATACAGATACATTCTTCATTATCTAATTGAATCTGTGACACATATTTACATTTGAATGGAAAAGGAAACGTGTTTGATCTAAAGTACTTCCACAAGTCCTCAGAAAATTATACATGCCTGTGAGGTATAGCTTGAAATCTGAAATGTCACAGATGGCAAGTGGAAAACTTGTTTTGTCTAGAGGCTTAGATACATTATTACCTCCACCATGAGGTGTCCTATGAGGCATGAAGGAATAGATATATTTTCCAAACTGACACTTTGAATTTGCCTCAAAATTCGCACCCTGCCACAATTTTGTGGCAATAAAAAAGCCTTGCAATGCCCGTGGACGTCAGCAAGACAGAAGCGACTTCATCTTTTAATCTTGATGCAAATTAAAAGTGAGTGTGACTGCAGAAATATCCATATCTTCCTAATATCTCTATTACCTTTGATTATTACATGCAAGATGGAAGATGTAGGTTAATTAATGGAGGCAATCTGTTGGGGAGATTAATGGAATAGCATAGCCAATGAAGCGAAAAGATGGAGGGATAGATAGTGGGGAGCACACTGAAAAGGAGGAAAGGAAGGAAATAGAAGGGAGGAGGGTGAGGAGGAAGAGGGGGAGATAATTCAGTTTATTATGCACGTCTGTGTAACATTTTACAAAAATCTAATTTTAGCATTAATTTTTTTTTTTACATTTTCATTATGCACAATGAGCTACATTAAGTTTAGTACCAGAAGGAAACTTTACAATAAGGCTCCCCTTATAGATGGCTAATAAATCATTTATTCCTCTATAAGCACTTTATAAATCATTAATATTTGTTTATTATGCATTAATTAAGGGTGACAGAGAGACAAAACTGACCAGTTTCTTGTCAAATAGTGAGACAAATCTGCCACATATATATTTCATCTTGAGTTGTTATGTTGAACATTTCAGACTAAGTTACC